CAACTCGTTCATAGTCAGCTTCAGACACCACATCAGCACAGCAAGATAAAATTGACAAGATGATTAGTGGAGTTGGAATAATCATAGTATCAGTGATACCAAGGCTAAAATAGGGAATACTGTACGGGAAGTGGGAATCAAGTGATTAAATAAAACTAGGAATTAATGTTCCCTCAAACAACGTTTCCAGCGATATTGTCCCCTGCCAGATAAATAATTAAAAGGCGGTTGACCTTAGAGCCAATACCCTATTTTCTCCATGGATATCTGTTTTATTTTACTGGGTTAAGAAAGTATGAAGCTAATACAATCTGAGCAGCAAAAATTAGCGATCGATCCCAACTATTTTCCTCTTTGACTCTGCAAGTTCGTCCGTCAATCGACGATGTTATCAGCATGAATTCAGCCTCTTTATTCATGTTCCGTGTAAAGAAATAATGTGAGCTACACAAGTATTAGTGTAGATTGCATGTGCATGCCTAACAGCATCCTAGTTTATGTCCTTTGCCACAATCCGTATTCTCATTTCTTAGATCCCTTTTTATGACTTTTATAAGCTCTTCCAACCGGCTTTTCGATCCTATCAAAGCTGCAAAGGGTGTAGTTTGCTTAGCCCAAGGGTTCTCAGAAAGACCCTACATGTTAAGTTTGTGGTCGTCTGTGATCTGATTCAGCTATTGATACGTGTTTCTGAAGTTCAACTAAGCTATGGGTTGTAGTATCTAAAGTGAATATGAATCATATGACTCCTGAGTATTAGTCAGGCATACAAATGTACAAAACACCTGAATCATGGCTTTATCAATATACTACTTTGGTGTTTCACATTAGGCAGTAGTGTAGTTAATCTGAATACTATTTCGACTCTTACTTTGGGAAACTGAATGGTTAAATGTGGTTGAAGTAAAGACAATTAGAATAATTTTAAAGTCGATGTTAGTCATTTACACTTCTTATTTCGTAATGTATATCTTTCAAACGTTAATTTTGTTTCTGCTTATTGTAGCATTTAAATGTACTATTCACAATACCAAAAGAGAGATTGAATTACTTTTACACATATCAGTAGCTTATCTATATGTGAAGTTTCATCACTGTGACTATCTTAATCTATTTAGTCTTATTATTTTTGAAGGCAAACGTTTGGCGAAAGGATATAGGGGAAAAAAAACCATTTCGCTATCCATATGACCTTGGAAAGCTCGTAAATTTTCAGCAGGTTGGTACATATTCCAAAATTGATTTAAAACTTTTTATTTTTGCAGATTATTTTATTCACTAGTACCAAGTTCCAATAAAGGATTTAAATATAATGAGGTGAAGGGATTTATCATGTTACTGTAATTTAGTGCATCTGAATTTAATTTTCCTACTAGACTTGTATCATGCCAACATCACTTACAGACAACTTAAATTTCAAAGATGTGTTTACTAATAACCATTTTCATTTTCTTATCAATTTATTTGTGGTGTAAGTTTAAAGGAACATTTGTTTCTTAGCTTATATATGTATATCGATTTTCTCCGGACTAATCCACTTTTTATTAAAGGTTGGTGCAAACAGATCTAAGTATCTGAATACAGTAATTTGAATAATGGGTAAAAATAATTATAGTTTATCCTGTAAAAGAAAATAAAGGGATATACAACTGAAATGTGATAGTTTCCTTCAATTTAAGCTCTTTACTTAGATCCATCCATTGTTAGTGCTGTATGATTATCCTTTTTCTACTTAACTTGAAGATGAAATAGGAATTCCTAACTTTTCTGGTTGAGAATTTCCCTGTGAATAATTTCTATTACGTAGCTAGACATTTTTTGGTATGTGCATACTTCGTCTCATCAAATATGATTTTGTTTCGCAAATACTTGATGTATTAGGAAGAAAAGTAGGTTTAATCTCGTTGTTGCACAAATTCACTGTCATGATAAACTGATTATGATATGATCCCTACTTAATTTTAGGTCACTACTTTTTTACTAATAATGTATGAAATGTAAATCAGTGAATCCCTGAAATAATTTCTTACGTTTTATAATTTGAAATTGTTCACGGATATTTTCTTTGTATTAAATTAGAAAAAAACTATTTGAATCTGTTTATGACTTCCTTAATACCAATGAATGTAATTGTTATCAAAAGTGTAGAAAGTACGGTGTTTAAGCAGTAAACTAACTCATTTTCATGTCAATTCGTCTTTTTTTTCTACATGAAGAGTTCAGTGCCAAAAATAAAACTACCAAAAACTAAAATAATGGACACGAACTTATTTAATGAAAGATGATTTTTTTAAAAATAAGATACTAATAGACATGAGAATTTTTTGCGTTTATTAATTGATCATCATATCATTTATGCTTTACTTACAACCATCATCAGACGTCTGATACAGTAGTTTTTTATACCAGATCTGGACTTTATTGCTAAATACAATCCAGATTTACATTCTACTTTGTCCTGCTTCTTGGCCATTTTTTTATTTTGAGCATGTTATTATAATGATTCAAATTTTTATCCCAACAGATTTTTTTGTGGTCTGGTAAAGTCTTAGGAGATGGATACTACTGGCCTGTTGTGAAAGGCTGCACTCAGTATGATTTGACAGTAAGTTTTGTTTTTGTTATACCTCCACATCCTAATCATCTTGATTCATACATTTGGTAATTATAATAAATGATTATGCAACAATGTAATTCCGTTGTTTTGTTTCACATGTGTTCCACATCTGATCTGTCTGCTGATTTGAATGGATAGTTTTCAGTATAATTAGATCATATACTTGTCACTTGCAAGTTTGTACCTATAGGAGCTTATATCCTCTCATATTCGATCATACCAGCGCTGTTAACTAGGCGTGAAGGTCCAAAATTCCATTTCTTATGGAGTCGTGAGTTCGCACCGTTGAAAAATCCCAAACTATATCAAGACGACTATTCAGTATCCCCTAGTTCCGTATCTTATATCAGTCTGTAATAAAAGCTAGTTTCAGATAATTTCGTATTATGTCTTGTAAATTATAACTGATTGTTGGCATTTCCTCATCGATATTTCACATAAAATTTTACCTTATTGTGATTAGGTTATCTTCTACTTTCCAATATCTCTAAGACACAATTTACTTATCCATATAATTATACTATTGAGACTTATCTATAAATCAGATTGATCAATGTATATTTGACTATGCATATATAGTTAAATGTTAAGCACAGTTTCCAGAAATTTAATTCTTTATTTCTTCGTTTAAAAGCTCACATTTGGCATATCTAAGTCATTAAAATAAATACAATATGATAGCACTATAAAGACACAAAGATGAAGAGAATATATGGTCCGCCTGGAGCCCCTCTGGGGCTACTGTCGATCCCAAGCCCGGATAAAGGGAGAGTATCGGGCATGAGGTTAGCGACTCCATTACGTAGAAAACTAATGCGCTAAAAAAACGCTAACCAAAAAAGTAATTCAAACTATTTATGGTCTGTAATTCGAATCGGTAATCAGCAAATCGTCATAACGTTTGGTCGAACCAGTCCTGAGGCTTAATTGGCGATGTATATTACGTACAATCTGTGTGTATATATGAGTACACACAAGGCCTAAATAACATCAATGTGAATGTCAGATAGTCTATTCCTCCCTTATTCTTAGTTCGTACTTTATCACTTCCATTAATGCAATGCATACTTCTGTTATATTGTTTGTTTTAGCTAGCTGTGTCTGATTAGCTCGGTGTAATGGTAAAGGACAAGAATGTAAATAATTTGCATATATTATAGAAATAAATGCTCCTAAAAGTTGTCAGCGAAGTAGCTGACACAACTTGTCAAAAACAGGCTAACAGCATTTTTCTCTACTCAATTTCGTGTTAGTTTTGACTGCGCAAAATGTCGTTGCATTGCTTAACTAAACTTAATATGCAAAAAAGCGTATTATACAATATTTACTCCAAAATGTTAAGTTTTTCCAATAATTACTACTACAATGTAAATGTATGTTCCTCTTTGAGTTAGCTTTTGTCTCAATTCAGTTATGCTGTAATGTTTTTATCGACTTGAAGTATTAAATACATTAAACCAGTGGTAGCTCAATTGCTACATTCTTTGCATTTATAATTTTCAAACGATAGGTAAGCTATTTCGATATTCAGTACGAAACTTCATTTAAATAGTAATTAGTCGTTGTAGATAGAAGTCTACTTTAGCCAAGGTTACTAATTTGAATGGTGGATGTTTTTTAATATTTAATTCTTGTCAAATAATATTTACTAATAATGGTTCATAATTGCTCTTGTGTCACATTCAGCTTTAGTTTTACTTGTATAGTTTCGTTATATTCTACCAGTTGGAACAGATCTATCAGAAAAGGTTGAAGCAAAAAATTCAGCGCACATTCAAAATTACCCAAAATTATGATGGGAGTCGGTGTATGTGTTTTCGTTATGGATGTCTAACTGCGATACGTTCCCCATGTTTTGAAGAACCCAGAATATCTGTACGTGTCGGTGATGTTCTTATGGTGACAAGAGGAACAAAGTAAGCGAAAGGCATTCGATATTGTTTGAAGTGAAAAAAAACTAACTGTAGAGGCTCAACATATAAACGAATAATAATCCAGTAATATGTATTTAGATTGATTAATCTAATTTCGAAATTACGTATGTTCCTCAAAGTCGTACTAAAATTGCATTAGAAGATCATTAAATGTGATATCTTTTTTTGTAAGAGCATTCTAAACTAGTACTTTCAGACTGGTTTGCATTCATTTATTATCTCAATAAAGTTTGTTCAGTGGTTTGTTTTATTGAATGACGAAATAGTAATCCGATATATGCTAAAAACTGGGTCGTCGTTTTTCAAAGTACGTCATTCAGTGCATATTGTTATTTCTTCTTAAATATAGGATTTCTGTTGTGTGGTGTGATCATCGTGGTTTAAAGAAGAACTTAGGGTAATTATATCAAGTTGACTTATGAACAGATAATATATAATAAACTGTAGGCTTCAGTTTGTCCTTTGATAATGGGAATGAGAGATTGAAAACATAAGATCATCTGATTAGTATTAACTCAAGAAAGTGTAATCCTAATCTTCTTATATGGTTTTCATATGATTATCAAAGTGTTTAAAATTTACATTAACTTTATATTTATTTCAATCTTTTTGTATATTTTAACTCCGTGTGATGAATATTTCATAGATTACAATACGAACTGATCCTAGCTAGACAAACATTGTAAACCGAAAAGCATTAGACAGCTGTTTTGTCCTGTATCGAGACTTATCTGTAGTAGGCGTCTACGACCCCGCCGGGGATCGAATGCACGACTTTCAGACCTCCCAGCGAGTACTGAACCTCTAGGCCACTGGGTTTGAGATCCAGTGGTTTGCATTTCTAACTTTGGTCAATTCACGATATTGCACGACCATCATCTATTACCATTTGTGATCTTTTTCTCATGCCCTCCGACATAGTTGAACTATACCTGGTCACGGTTCATCACTATAACTTCAGGAATTACCGCTCAAGGTTATTCACTAGTAGTGAGAATTGATTGAAGTTAGACGTGAACTGTTCGGTCCAAAAGTTGGACTTAACCCCCTATGTGGTTGTAAATTCATAATGCTAAGTAGTTCCGTAAGAGAACGAAATACACAAAATAGAATTTCGTGGTATGATGATTCATCTTTCTGTTATCCTAAGTTTTTAAGAAGTTGGTTTTTCTGCTCTAACACTTTTCGTGCTTCCAAGTTAGTTTTGACTTTATTTTCATGCGTAATTATGCGATTTTATTTACCCAGTGAGTTGTTAATTTAAATACTAGATATCTTATTTAGTGAAAGCAGATGTTAAGACACAGGTGATACAATCATTTTATATCACGTTTACGTTCAGTAGGCTTTACTAGTACCACAATTTTTTTTACTGAATAGAATGACCGTTTTGTTAGAAACTAATATGTATCTATGTGGCTTCACTCACCTCACATAGTGCTTCTTTGTTTTAATACACCTCATTTAAGCTACGTATAGCAAAACTTAATCTGTTTATTTTTGTTCCTATAAGCTGAAAAGCTACGTCTATCGTTCTTAGATGGTAGACCTTTGGTTTAACTGCCTTTACATTTTCTCTAAAAGTCGTTTGTTATGGTTTCATGTATTTTGTTAATAAGTTTCCAACATCCAATTAGTAGTTTTCTTTGCTGATATGATAAGTGTGCTCCTTCAACCTCTTTTTCCGAAAATTCTGTCTATCACGTTTTTGTTGAGTGTGCTCCACCTAGTCATCAGTGTGTTTCACTTATTATACGTACATATTCTTACAAGTCTAGTTATTAGTACATTTCACTTACCTTTCTATTGTACTTTATATGCATCTTGTTTTCCTAAAAAGTCCTTGATACTAGAGTTAAGCTTTAACTTTCTTATTGTACTTGTTTCATGATCGATTGTTCAAGTCATTCAAAGATAATCTGAATAGTAATAAAATTTCATTTCGACCCATTATTAGGTAATTATAAACGCTTTCACCCTAATTACAATATTTTGATTTAGCTGTTTGCCTTGTCTATCGATTACCTCTCGTTGTTTCATTCGAACTATCTTGAACTGTTATTGCACATCTAACGAAATTCCTAGTCAGAAGCTACCTCATCAAGGGATATCTTTGTAATATTTGTATCTTTTGACCCATATTTCGGTTTGTCTCTGGAAGGTATTTGCTTGGTTTTGGATTTGTTTATGATCACAATTTACTATTATTGAACTCCTTCAGTTTTTGTGTCACCGAAGATATTTTACATGCATTGGTAATATAAGTATATGGGTGGAAAGTTTATTTTATAGTGTTCTGGATACTGACCATTGTATATAGATTTAACAGATATTTTGTTTGTAAATTTATTTATTGGATGTATTTATTATTCTCTATTGTTTCATTTACCAGGTACTGGATTTATGGGCATTTGGTCCCTTCTGAAAGTTGTTCTGCTGATTTTTCAGGTAATTTGCTAGCATTAATATACAGTTTTCAATTCGTAGATATGCTACTTTCTTTAGAAATGCTGCCAGTTAGTTGCGTAATGGATTAGATAATAATAACATTGACACGTAATTTTCCCTCATTTGGTTCATGGAGCAGCACATAATCAATATAGTGATTCTCCTTCGTCATCTATAAATATAGCACTCGTTAACATTATCATTGGTCAGTAGGCATCTTTCTTGATGCTTCTAGGTTGCTCCTAGGTCAAAGAAAAAGTTTAACTGTTATTGTAATACTTATCACTTTTTTTTAATTTACATAGAGAATTCTGATCAGAAATATTATTACTGCTTCAAACTTAACTCTGTTTGGTTAACAATTAAATGTTTTCTTACTTTCGGTTTCCTTGGCTGCATCGACCACATATTCACCATTCGTCAGGTTCTAGAACACAGGCATACCTATCGGCGTCCGACGATGGTGGTCTTTCTTGACTTAAAAGCAGCGTTTGACTCTGTAGACCGCGAGACTCTGTGGCAGTGTCTGTCATTGAAAGGCGTACCTCAGAAGTACATAAACCTTGTGAAGGCTCTTTACTCGAACACTACTAGTCGAGTCAGGGCTTATGGCGAACTGTCATCTACTTTTGCAACTTCAAGTGGTGTCCGTCAAGACTGTCCACTTTCTCCATTTTTGTTTAACTTCATCATAGACCTATTGATAGAAATAACACTCTCGTCGACTGAATTCTCGGGTATTGATCTCCTTCCAGGAGGTCCACTTATCGACTTAGAATACGCAGATGATATAGTCCTGTTTGGTGAAGAGGCTGACAAAATGCAGAGTCTTCTGGTAGCACTGAGCAACAATGCCAGAATGTTTGGGATGCGCTTCTCTCCCTCTAAATGCAAGTTGTTGCTTCAGGACTGGTCTGCGTCAACACCTGAACTAAGGATAGGGAGTGAAGTAGTCGAACGCGTCGACAACTTCACTTATCTTGGAAGTCTGATCAGCCCTAATGGGTTGGTGTCTGACGAAATCTCAGCACGGATTCGAAAAGCTCGTTTGGCTTTTGCCAACTTACGTCACCTTTGGCGGAGGCGAGATATCCGTCTATCAATAAAAGGACGAGTATACTGCGCAGCAGTCCGTTCTGTTTTAATTTACGGCAGCGAAACATGGCCATTAAGAGTAGAAGACACTCGTAAGCTACTAGTATTTGACCACAGATGCCTTAGAAATATTGCTGGCGTCTGCTGGGATCACCGGGTAAGTAATAGTGAGGTTAGACGCAGGGTATTAGAAAATGATGGTAAATCAGTTGATGAGGTTGTGAATCTTCATCGACTGAGATGGTTGGGCCACGTGTTACGTATGCCTGAACACCGATTACCACGACGTGCAATGCTAACCGGTGTAGGGGTTGGTTGGAAGAAAGTTAGGGGCGGCCAAACCAAAACGTGGCATCAGTGCTTGAAGTCACTAACTTCTAGTCTGAGCCATGTTGGTAGATGCAGACTACTTGGTTGGGGTCCGCGTGACTATCGTAACCAATGATTGGAGACTCTTGGTGACATGGCTCAGAATCGATCACAATGGCGTCGGTGTATACACTCTTTGTCTTCCCTTAAACTAAGAGATTAAATCACTTCATATCTTTCTTTCTACGAACTAATTCTTCCTTCCTATACTATATCCTTATTGCAACCTTTGACCTAACCACTGCTGTGAATCCGGTGTTCATCTTGTTGTGCTAATGAGGTATGGCAACCTGGACCGATGCACATATGTGCCTGGTCCTACGTTGTAGCTGACTGACTAACTGACTTCGGTTTCCTTTTACTTTACAGATTCTGTCAGAATTCGTGGGTGGGTTCCTCGCGTTTGTGCTTTTGAGGTCGATTTCAAACACAAAAACGATAAGTTCTCGCTTAAGAATGACTAGGCAGTCACATTCCATAGTTCAGAGGACGATCATTGTTCTATTTTGTAGATTACTACAGTGTTCGTACTAATTGTCGTTACTTTACTCACTTTTGTAATTTCTTTTCTTGTTCTATTTTCCTATTTACTTTCTCTTATTTGAAATATTGAATGGGATGAAATTATCCGACTAACACGAACTGAACATCTCAGTCTAAGATTTGTTTAGATTTACTGTTTATTATCATTCTCACCACCAATCTTATAAAGTGACCCAGATGTTAGAGGACATGCAACAAACGTTACTAGAAGGAGAATGTTGTGGTTAACTCACTCGCTGTCCTAATGTAACTTGAATTAGATTCTGCTAGTCATTTTTTGAAACATTATGGCCAATTTTCGTGGTATGTAAATAACCAAAACTAAAAATTCATATGTTTAGAGATGTACTTGTATTTTAGTAGTTGGTGTTTGTTGAACACAATCTTTTCATATAGATTGATAATACAGTTACTTCATTTTAGATTGATCATAGTCTTCCTCTCTAAAAATAACTGTTATTGGGTCCCCTGAACTTCGTTTTTCCGACACTCGAGTCTGCATATCTATTGGTCGATCTGGTTTCTACATGCTATGCAGTAGTTTAGCTAAGGCAATAGTGCAGTTAAATTACATTCCAAATAGTGTTATTTAGGAGGGGAGGAATCTTCATAAATTGTCTTTTGCTATGTCATCAATCTCATATTGTATCACTAAGGCTATCTACCAGTGATTAACAGTCTACTAGCTTCCAGCTCCCAGATTTTATTTGTGACTATCTTGTATAGAATTAGCGTCGTTCCAAAGCATATGAATAATAGCTCTGGAGAGTATAATCATCTAAGGAGTAGGATATTTTACCTTAGTAAAAATACACTTGCTGGATTTAGTCTTCCTTATCTATGATTCTAAATATGTGACTTTCAGTAGGTTAAGCCAACCAAAGTTTGTGCATCTAACCTCTCGTTTCAGGAAAGTGCAGATTCTTTCCTTAAAAATAAAATTAACTTTTCCCAAAACGTCACTAACAGTGACTGTCGTAAGTGAATACGACTTCCTATACCGAGAGACAATCAGTCCACGGAGGCTTATAATAATTAGGATGTATCCATTTTCTGAGGTCCTCTCTTAAACACATAGTTCATCCATGAATAATGATACTACGGTCTCATGGCTTAGTTAATTGATTAATCGCACCAAATCGACACAACGTTAAGACATCACCAAGACCCACTTCACTAAGTCTTGATTCCTGAGTAGAATTATTAGATGTGAGGCAGTCAGTCACACACTGGGATGAGAATACGGTTAGGCATCTTTCCTTCAAAGGTCGGTAAGTTCTGCAGATGCGAGTAATGTCTCCATTCGGGATTTCATATTAAGCTTCAACGTCATCTGGCATGTCGGGGCGCGGCACATTAATGGTTTCATGAGAGATATAAACCTCTTGACTTGAAATTGGGACTGGTGGATATTGAACTAAATGAGCGGTTTGTGTGAAGATTATAGTGTTTGAGCCATTAGACTAGTTGGTAGTCTCCATTGATGAACGATAACATCCTATCTTTGGGCTACTCCTGTTCTTATGTTTATTGGCGATAATCTTTAAAATGAGACGTAGCACCCCTTCAAGTATTAAGACTTCTCAAGTAGATTTAAACAAATAAAACAGTTGGATTCGGATATTATTATAGTTGTAAGTATTCAAATTTATGCGCTAGCTAAGAATTTCCGAAGTGATGCTATTCAAGGCAGGTAGAACTAGGTGGATACAGCTTGACGTAATACGGTTGTGATTAGTAATAGGCGGGCATATAAAGGGGCCGTAGTTTTACACATATCATAGCTTAAGTGGGGACCTGGATTTCTGTTTTCTTACAAAGTACTTTACATCGTGGGAGAAAGAAAACAGTTTTTTTCTCTGTTATGTGGTTCTGCAATATTGAGATCTATTCGTTTTTAAACATACGCTGGCAACAAATTCAATTCTCAAATCCGAATAAGATCTCCAGAATTCGAGGACCGCAACTGTGGTTTTCTGTTAGGCGGGCATAGCAGAGAAAAGGCATAAAAATTATCTTGATTATCCAGATAGACGATTAGTGTTAATTGCCCCAATCAGCCGAAGCGTGTATACAATTATTTGTGTTATCTGTTGACCGATACAATATCACCACGAGAACGGCAACCCAGAAAGCGCGCTTCATCCAAGTACAAAAGTTTGGTCAGTTAGTACTAATACGTACATTTAGCACCAGTAAACGCAGAATAAAGATGAACGAGAGGACTACAATGAATCTATATATTGTGATTTGTTCCTTTTTAAATATGTCAATGGTGAGAAGGCGCCTAATTACCAATCTTCGTAATAAGTTGTTTCGCTTCATTTGTAGTTATGCACACAACAGTGTATGCTCTGTAACTGCATATATTGTTGATGTAGATTATAAAGAGCAATGGACCCAAGACACTACCCTGCACAACACCACTGGTTATTGGTCGAGGTGTAGATGTTTTAGAGTTAATCTCGGTTACTTGATATCTGTTCGTAAGAAAAGACTTGATCCATTGCAAAAGGGGACTTATAATTCCAACTGACTTAAGTCTGTTGATTTGAAGATTATGTGGTACTTTATCAAAGGCTTTCTTAATATCGAAGTATAGTATAATAACTAGTTTCTTCAGGTCCGGTCCTGACATTTGATAAACGATTGAAGGGATGTCATCGGCACCAGAACTCGCATTTGGCTTAAGAGTTTTAATGGGGGTATGTATACTCCTAATGTCGTAGTTTATGGTACTAAGATTTTTGCTGGTGCACTTTATGTCGATATCTGGAGCATCAGATGTATTCCCATTGTGAGAAAACCATTCACTTAATAGTTCACATATGACGGTTTGGTCATTATACGCCATTCCATCGTGCAGTAAGGAGTGAATGTTGTGGTCTGTGTTATGCGTTTCGTGAGACGATATAGGGCTTGGGCTTTAGATGCAGGGGCGAGCGCACTACGTTCCTCTACCTGTTTATGCTTGTTGTGTTGACTTTGTACTCCGTCAAGTACAGAGTATATCTGGTGCAGGGCACTGAAGTCTTTTGATATATAGTACATCCTTCTCAGTTTCCGCAGTTTAGACCTAGTCTTTTGGTTTATATAGGGAGTAATATTTTTAAAACCAATTTTAGAGGGTATAGTAGTGTCTAGTGCAGATTTGGTGGTGATATTGAATATAGGTTATCACTGGTGAAGAAGCTGCCCCAGTCCGAGTGCTTTATTAGAAATCGAAACTTTTCCCGGTCAGCGTTTGCATAGTCTCTATATTGGAATCGCATGTTGTATGTCTTTAATTTGTTGCATATGGCAAGAATCGGAAGGGTGCAGAGGACTATTTTATGATCGCTGTTGTGAAACTTTTCGCCAACTACCATTGATGTTGGTGTGACATTATGACAATATCACGTCAAGAATGTTGTGATTTCGTGTAGGCAGGTGTACATGTTGTTGCCCACTGTGTATGTCTAAGGACCTAAGTATGCTTTCAAAACACAATGGGCCAGAATGTGTCGTCCAGTTGATGGTGAGAAGGTTGAAATCACCACATACAATTTTGTAGGTGAAGTCAAGCGAGGCAGCCTGAGCAAATGACTCACTTATAATAGTGTCAGTTGAACTAGGAGTGTTAGGAGCTCGATATATGCATCCGATTAGTATTTTACATTCATGAGTGTGCACAGTAAGCCATATCGATTTAGGAAGTTTGCTGAGGACGTGGTTGCTATAGATTTCCGCTCTCAAATTTTTTGATACATAAACAAGACAACCACCACCCTTCCTGGTGACTCGATCACAGCGGAAGAGCTCTTAGGTGTCTATTTGTAGATATGTGTACGTGGTATCGGAGGACAGCCAACTTTCCGTTATCAAGACAAGTGAGGGGTTGTTTAGAAGTAATAGGGTGCGTAGGTGAGTCATCTTACTTTGTACAAATCGAGCGCTGATTAACATAAGTGTCAGGTACAGTGACTGTTTGTCTAGTAGAAGGGCATGATGTAAACCCAGTGGTTTGTCTGGTTTGCCATGCGAAAAGGAAGAATTGGGAGCGTTGACTCCATATTGATGAGCGTTTAGTTTATTACCAGTAGTGTTAATGCGAGAAGGGTAGTCGGGTGTTGTGTTGGTGAAAGAAGTATGTCTAAGAGTGGAAGGTAGAGTTGAATGGTTAGGTAGTGTGTCCGGGGAATGATCAGGAGGTTCAGTCAAGGAGTTTTCAAGACTAGAGACAGTTATCGAAGTTGAGAAGGATGTGCCACTCCCCATTCAATCGGAGTATACAGATGGTTTCAGAATAGTGGGGTTGTCGCCCTCAACATTTGGAGACCCCATAGCAGTAATGTTGAGTGGGAGAGAGATAAAAAAGCATGAGATAGTGTGTATGTCGAATTAGGGGGGACTAAACCGTTGTATTGGGTGGTTTGACTTAGATAGTACCCAGAATCAGTAGGTGGGTTCCCAAGTAGGTCAACGTTATGGCTTCCTTGTGTGCGGTGGGCAATTTTAGTCCTACTGTGGGTAGTTGGGAAGGTTGTATGTTTCTGGTAAGGAACGAAGGATTGCCTGATATTATTGCCAAGAGAGGTGTTTCTCTTATGTGTATTTGTGTGCTGGTTCATGGAGCTCGCAAGGTTAACACTATATGACTTACGCGTATCACGTGTAGGTGTGGTTCTTGTCGAGTGTCATTTCACATTAGGATGAGTAGGTGTTGTCAGTTCACTATGTTTGTTGTAGGGCATTCTATTTCTATGAGAAGGTGCATGTTTTGGGTTAGAGGTGCTGGAGTATTGGTGCGTTTTTACGGAGAGTTTGGTATTATTTTGTACAGCGGAGTCTGAAAGTCTGTAGCTG